CCCGCTCCGCTTCGGTTGGGGAAGGGCGAAATCTGCTGTGATTGTTGTCCGAAACCGCCGAATAATTATCACTTCATTTCGTTTTAGAAGGCAATAAAATAATAATAATAATAATAATCCCCCTTTTTTAACCCCGGCAATAATCACCTGCTGATGGGCTGTCGGGTCTCCAGGACACCGATATCATCTAGGCGGGATTTAGCGTGAAAATGGTGCACAAACGCCTCGATCGGGCGCTCAGAGCCGCGGTCCTTTACCCAAACCTCCTCCCACCCTGAGCAGATGGGCACTGCCTGCACCCGCAGCTCGGACGGCGCTGAAATGATTTCCAGCGGGAGTCGGACCGAGCGCTGAACCGAGCCGATTTTTCCCCACGAACCAAATAAATAATAATAACAAAAAAAGCGATTTCCGAGCCTCTCTATCGATTCCCTTCGCTGCCTCTAAATAGCCGTGCGGTGTTTGATTTATCCAACACACCGTTTCCTCTCTAAATCGTACGAAAAAAATCAGAAAGAGAGAAAAGTTTCCCCGGGCCGCTGACCCCGACGGTCCCTTCCGAGGGTTCGGTGCCGCCGACCCCATTTGAGCTCCGGGCTAGGCCCCATTGCCCCCCAGCTCACCCCGACGCCCGCTGGCATTTTTCCCCACAGGATCGCGTTGTAGTCCCTCTTTCTGCACTCCTCTGAAGACTACTAGCTTCGATTGCTGCATTTATTTCCTTTTCTCCCTCTCTCTCTTTTTAAAATTATTATTATTAATATTATTTTGCTTTGGTGGGTTATTTTAATCTTTTTTTCTTTCTATTTTTTTTTTCCCTCCGGAAGGTGATGCAGATGTGATCAATAAGGAAATAGAAGCGTTCGGGAGCCTTCCAGGCACAGCCGGTATGGAGCGGCCGCAGCCAACCCCCTTTGGCTCAGCTCCCACCGCGCAAACCCCGCGCAGGTGACGCCTCTAGCCCCGACCCGGACCGAGGGGAGTCCCGGGCCGTACCTGCCCGGTTACACTGCCACAGCCCGGCCGCACCGTCGGGGCTGCCCCCGCCGCCTCCCCGGCCCGGCCTCCCCCGGCTCGGCCCCGTTATCCTCCGGAGAGGAGCGGGGACGGAGCCCGGGAGGGAGCCGCTAAATCCCGGCCGCTGCCCCCGGGCGGACCCGGGCCGTCCTGCCTCGCGGTCACACTTACAAAGCCGTGTTTGTCCGAGATGTTGTTGGTGAGCTTGAGTTTGTGAAAGGCAACGGGTTTGGCCATCCACTGCTCCCCGGTGGCCGGGCTGTCGGGGTGGATGTACATGCGTTTGGGCATCTCCGGGTCGGCCTTTCCGGCCACCATCCAGCGGGAGTTGTGGAATTTGTACCGGCAGTCGTCGGCCGCAACTATATCCATGAGCAAAATGTATTTGGCCTTCTTGTCCAGGCCGCTCACCCGCACCTTGAACGGGGGGAACATCCTCCTGCGGAGAGACGCACAGCGCTGCAGGGAGCGACCCTCGACGGCCGCAGCCCCCCCCCCGGCCCAGCCCCGGCCTGAGGGGTGCCCAGCGCTTGGGTAAAAAGCTCCGAGTCCCATTGCGGGATGAAGGGGCAAAGAGGAAAACGCGAATCATTTTTTCACTGCACTTCTTTAGGGTCCCCCTCCCGGAACCGGGGCCGGGGGAAGATTTGGCAGTGAGGGGCTGCAGAGAGGGATGTAAATAAATACGACGGCACTGAATGAGTGCGCACAGATTTAATTTGGGATCGCGCATAATTATGGGGAGGGGGGGGAGGGGGGGGGGGGTTGGGGGGGGAGCGAAATACGTTTAAAAAAATCCCGGTTCTTACCTCCCGGATTTGGTGATCACCATCTCGGTGCCCAGCTTGTGGAATTGGTCCCAAAGCTCTTTGGCTTCCAGCGTCACTTTGGGGTCGTCCTCCACCTCCTCCTCGGGCTCCAGGCTCTTGAGGGAGCGCAGATGGGCTGCCTGGTGGTGGTGGCCCAGAGCCGAGACGTGCAGCCCAGCCTCGGCCGCCCCGGCCAGCCCCGGGTCCGGCATGGGCTTGGCCAGAGCCGCCGGGGGCAGAGCCAGAGCGGGGAAAAAGGAGGGCTGAGCGGCGGCGAGAAAAGCGGACATGGGGAAGTCGGCCGGCCGGGGAGCGTGGAAGGGGTGGTAAGCCATGGCAGTCCCTGGGAAGGCTGGATCTCTCATCGGTGCATCCACAAATCCAGGAGAAAAAGAGGGATTCCCTTTTGTTAAAAAAAAAAAAAAAAAGAAAGAAAGAAAAGAAAACAAACAAACAAACAAAAAAAAACCAAAAAGCAACAATAACAGCAATAATAATAAAAAATAGGTGTGCGGTTCGGCTTGTTTGTTTTATTTTATTTTTTCTCCTCTCTCCTGCCCAGCGAATTCGCACTGGAAGAGGAAGGGAAATCGACAACAAAAATTAGTTAAAAAAACAAAAACAAAAAAACACCCACAAACCCAACGACGCACACAAGGAAAAAAAAAAAAAAAGAAAAAAAAAAAAAAAAAAAAAAAAAGTGAAAAAGAGCGGAATAAGATGTGCGGAAAAAAAAAAAATTAAAAAAAAATTTAAAACCAGAATTAAAAAAAATAATAATAATAAAGGCAGTTCCCGGCTCCTGGGACTCCCGTTCTGCGGAGGGCAGAGAGTACGTCCTTCTTTTTTTGTTGTTGTTGTTGCGGCGAAGGGAGAAGCGAGCGGGGGCGAAACCCTCCCGGAGAAATCCTTCCCGGCACTGAAGCGGCGCCGGAGCGGAGCGGCGGTCGGGCCGTACGGCTCACACCCCCGCGGGCTCCGACTGCGCCCCGGAGGGCTCCGCACCGCTGCGCGCTCCGCGGTTCGGCCGAGCGCCGCTCATGGCTCGAGGAGCCGGAGTGGGGAACGGTCGGATCTTGTCGTGATCTCTGTAAAACTGTGACTATCTCACATGTCCTTCCTGCTCTGATCCGCCCGCTAATGAGCCAAGCCCCCTTGATTGCTGATTTTACGCGTTTCAGACCAATTGTGGATCTGCATAGGCGTGGTTTTGACAGCTCCGGCCAAGCTCCGGGCGCGGGGAGGAGGGGAGGGGGGGGAGGGAGGGAGGAGGGAAAAAAGGAAAAAAAAAAAAAGGGAGAGAGAGAAAAAAAAAAAAAAAAAAGAAGAAGGTGTCGGAAGCATCGGCAGTAAGAAAACATGTCAACAGAATAAAATATTAACCAATGACAGAGAAAAGTGCTCGAAATCCCACCCCCGGCTCCTTTCCGCATACCGGGTCAGCCCTGGCTGCGCCGCGGCCGGGGAGCGGCCACCGCCGGTGCGGGGACAGCGCGGAGCCGGGGCCGGACCGGGGGTGCGGGGAGCGCGGGGCCGCTCGGAGCCGGGGGGCGTCCGGGGGGGGCGGGAAGGGGGGGGGGGGGGGCGGCGGGGGCCGGCCCCGGCGGTTGCCGGGGGCGGGGGCGTAGGGCCGGGGGGAGCGGCCGGGGGAACTCGGCGGCCGCCGTCTTACGACAGATCCTGGAAAGAGGATCAAGGTGGGACCCGCCCCGCCGCGCACCGCCGGCAACCGACGGGGCGGCCCGGGCTCGGCCGCCGGGAGCACGGCGGAGAGCTGCAGGCGGCGAGGCCGGAGCGGCGAGCTCCATCCAGCGCGGGTGAGTGGAGGAGACCCGCGCCCTGCCCTCGCTCCCGGCCCCGCGAGGCCGCTCCGACTGGGGGGGTCCCGCTGGGAGCTCCGCGCGGACCCCGCCGTCGGGGCGCCCCGCGAGGTGCCCTCCCGTCGGGGCCGCGCTGCGCTGCCCGGCCCGAGGGGCTGTTTACCCGGGCGGGGGGAGGCAGATAAGGCGGAGGGGAAATGCCGGGGCTGTTTGCTGAGGGATTAGGGCCGGTCCCGCCGCGCCGGGGCCCGGGATGGGAGGGGGGGGAGGCGGCGGGCGCGGTGGGTGTCCCCGCGGAGAGGTCCGTTTGGAGATCTGCGCTGATTAACTGAGGGCTGCGGTGGCTGAAGAGGGCCCTGGCGCCAGGCGGCTGAGCCCTCACAATAAAGACCCGTCTCTTGTCACTTCATATTTACCCCCAAATCTTCAAAAAGCGCCCTGCGATCCTTAGAAGGCTCCTGCGCCTGCCGCCTGCGCTGCGGCCAGACGGGACGTTGACGGGGGGGGGGCGGAGGCGGCCCCCTCCTCTGCCAACGGCTCCGCGGGTGCGCAACGACACGCTGCCTTCCTGGGGACAGCGTTGGGCCGCTCCCCGCGGAGGGTGGGACGCGGGGACCCCCGGCAGCCCTCTCCCCATCGCCACCTCTCCGCTGTTTCTCCTCACACCGTGTTCTATCGTGCTGCCAGCAAACCCCGGTGCTGTGAAGGGCCCGAGGAGAAACCCAAGAGGCGGCCGCATCCCGCCCCATCCCGCGGCAGGTTCACCTCCAGCCGCCGCCTCCCGACGGGGCGACCGCAGCGCGGCCACAGCGGGGCTGCCCTCACGGCTCCCGGCCACCGCGTGGGGCTGATGGGCGGGTGGGGAGGGGGGTGGATCGGTCCCACTGACCATTGAACGGGGCGAGGTGGCGAGCGGGGATTGAAATTTAGACCTCATTTGGACTTTGCTTCCACGACACCGCGGAAATGTGCTGACAGCAGCTTTGGCAAAAATGGGGCTTGCTCGGGCTTTTTTTTTTTCATTTTTTCCCCCCCTCCAAGCACGCCCGGATCCTCGCGTTGCCCCACGGCTGCATCACCCCGCTCCAGGGCACTACGCAAACCTGCGGACACCGCACCCGCAGATCCGAGGGGCAGAGCGGGGCCCCGCAACGAAACGTCGCCTCCCCCCGGGCCCAGGTTCTGGGACCCCCTCCCCCCTCGGCACAGCTGTAACATCGCAAACGCCCTCGCCTGCAGAATAAAAACCGATCCAGAGCCGCCTCGTCTCCCCGATCCTCTGTGGCAGAGCCCGTCGGTGGGACAGCCGAGGTGGGGCACACGGGGATGCCGCGCATCCATTCCCAGGGGCAGCTCCGTTCGTGAAATCGCAATCGGGAGCCCGTGTTCGTGGACGGGGCGGGAACAGCCGGACCCCGAGACACACTCCTCGGCCACAGCCGGGCAATGGGCAGGTAGAGTCGCTGCTTCGAGCCCCGCCCGAGCCCGTGGGCCCTTTCCCAAGTGAGGGGGGAGAAGGGTCCCTGCGCCATCTCGCTCACAGTGCCTCCCGTCTCCGGGCACTGCTTCCTTCGGGGCTCCGTGCGCGGCCCCGACGGCGCTCCCCGGACTCGGAGGCATCATCTGGGCTCCTCCGGGGAACCACTCCAGAGATCAGCTCCGAGGAACGGGCCCGGTCCGGCCGCCCAAGCGCTGCGGCCCCGCTCCCTCTTCCCTTTCATCTCTGCCCATCTCCACTCATCATCTCTTTTCTATTTTTAGCCGGTAGACTTAGGCCTTGGCGCCAGGCCGTTTAAGACCTGTCAAAGTCCTTCATATTTCCCTCATGTCACATGGACCTTTCGCTCCCTTCCCCGCGCCATGCGAGGGCCGTAATTTGGATCTGTGAGCTGGTGAGCAAATGCAATTTGCTCTTCTCCATCGCTGCGTTGTCTCCGTGACCCCAGCCAGCAGGACGGCTGGTGTCCTGTCCGGGGCACTTACACAAATTGCGGCTGATTGATGAAAAATAACAATTCTCCCAAGCAGTCGAGCCTCCGTCTTCCCCTCCTCCCGGCTCCTCCGGGCTGAGGCGGCTCCGTGCCCCGGGGCTCTCCTCCCGACCGTGCGGGGCCGCCCCACGAACCGCCGCCGGCCGCCTCTGCAACGGCTCTCGGATTGAGGCAAAAAAGGGTTTTCTCGTGCTGGGAGTGAGCCTTCGGGGTCCGCTTCTCGGCAGAGATGAGGGGTGCTGTATTCCTGGGCCCTAACGGGGCCGGACAGCTGCGGCCGTTGTGCACTTTCCAGAGGAGGGAAAAAGCCGGGCCGGGAAAGAGCCGGGCCCGCTGTGGGGGGGTTCCTCAGCCCGGTGGGGCCGCCGAGGATCGGGCGGAGCGGCTGTTCATTACCGGACGTGGGGCACCAGACGCCTCTGCGTGCACAGTACAGAGCAATCCCGCAGGTGCGGGCTGGGAGCTCGTGGAAAGAGCCCTTCGCCATGGGAGGAGCGGCCCCGAAGCTCTCTGACACGTTTCTCCCTCTCCACCTGCAGAAGGGACGCGGGGGAATGTCCCTGCCTCGCGCTCAGGTGCCCGTCGAGGGGCGGTGGCGGCCTCACAGGTGGGGCGGGGAGGGACCCAGATCTCGCCCCATCCCGGGCCCCGGGGATGCGCGTTACGGATAGTGATGCCCGGCCCCAGCCACGACACCTCCTCCCTCTGTGCGCTCCGTCCGCGCGGGGAGAACCCCGGCACCCCCTAAGCTCCCCCCCTCCTCAGCCTGTTTAGATTTCTCTCCGAATGTTTCCCGTAATCCTGATTTCTGGAAAATAACCACACGCGGGCAGACGCGGCCACGAACGCTGCTGAAGTTTATCCGGAGTTTGACCAACATATAAACATATTTCCAGCCCGTTCGGCTGGGCGGGCGCTGAGTGACCCCTGCCCGGCACCGGGGCTGCACCGCGCTCCGCTCTCGTTACCTCCGCGCCGCTTTGATCCGGAGCCCTCCGAGCTCCGCCGCTTGATTGAGTTTTTGCAATTAAGGGGGGGGAGGTGGCGGCCGTAACCCCGCACACGTCGGGGCTGCGCACGTCGGGGCGCGGCGCCTCGGCCGTTCCGAGCCCGTTCCCTTAAAAGGCGACGGGAGGCCCGCGCGGCGCGGGGGGGTCGGGGGGGGGGGGGGGGGGGGCAACAACGGCGGGCCCCCCCGGGCGGCGCGGGGGGGGGGGGGCGGCGGCGCGGGGCGGGGCGGGGGGAGGTGGGGAGGATCATGCAAATCCCTCTGTTTAAAAAACTTCCATTTGAGAAAGTGTGTCACATCCCGGCGCGGGCGTGTAATCCCCGGGCTAATGGTATTACCGCCGCCTCATCGGCGTAATGGGATGGGGCCGGGGGCGAGCATCCCCCAGACCCTCCGCCACGCGTGACCGCAGCCCCATAACGTCTGCCCCGTCGGGGCCCCGCTGCCCTGCCTCCCACCCCCCCCGCCCTCCCTCCCAGGCCCCGCGGTGTCTGTAGGTGAGCAGAGCCCCGGTTTTTGCCAGGGGTTCCCGGAATGAAACCGACTCCAAAAGGGGAAATCGGGAGCTACGCTTCGTGGTCTGTTCATCTCTTAAATAAAAGAGATTAGCGAGCGCCGTTATTTGATAAAATAA